GTGACTATGGAAACAGTGCAGTCTTCTGGGTTATGCCGCCATGAAGTTAGGACTAGGCCCTGGCCGCGCCATAGCTCGAGCTGTTAGTCACTGGCTTCCCACCGCGGCGGCCAGGGTTCAATCCCGGGTATGTTCAAGTGGGATTTGTGGAGGACAAAGTGGCGCTGGGGCAGGTTTTCTCCGAGTACTTCGGTTTCCCCTGCTAATCTTCATTCAACCAATTGCTCCACAATCACCCTCACCTATCATCTGGAGCTGGTACAATAGGCCAGAAGTGGCCGCAGTACAAGGGACTTATTCCCACCCCACTAGCAATAAAAAAATAGGACTAGGCCCGACGTTTCGGAGGAACGTCAGCCATATTTTCAAGGTCCGAAAAATAAACTAGAAGCTTGGCTGAATTTGCCGCCTGCTTCTGGTGCTCTTTTACTCACGCACTCTTCCTCTGAAACGTCGAGTAATGTCCGAACTACACACCGTTACAACCCTGAAAACTGTATTTTTTATTAATAATAACTTACTAATGTACTAGTTCCCCCTCAGAAATAGTGTCTTCATTTAAACAGGCCATATGTTTCTCCTTCCCAAGACACCGTTCGTCATCCGTCGTATCAATGAAATATTACGAGCTGCTATGTAAACGAATTGGGCATTACGTAATAGAAATAGAATGAAAGTTAATTAAGTTTGAAATTCAGTAACTCTTCTGACGGAGGAATAGAACTCGAGAGAGCTTCACAACAAAGTTCTGAGGGGAATGTTTGAATCTTAAAGAAGGGAGTAAATGACGACAAAAAGAAATCGCATATTGACAATTTACACAATTTGAACCCTCCACCATGTGTGAAGTGAGGACGGGATGAATGGCCATGTGGCATGCGTAAGACAGATGATACCTTTATAGAAATTTGAAGTGCGAAGACCCGAAAGGAAGGAATCATTTGAGGGATCTAGGAGCAGATGAAAGGGTAATATAAAATTTTATCTTAAGAAAATAATGTGTAAGATTACGGGCCGCATTCAGCTGCCTTAGAATAGGGTCCAATGGCGAAATCTTACGAAAATTGTAAAGAATATAGAGTTTCGTAAGAGATGGGGAAATTCATCTACTTGTCGAGAAAGTATGAGCTTATGTAGAAGGAGCTAATTGCAGTAGCTTTCGGAATAGCGTCTGATATGCAAAACCTATTTTTTTACTTAAAAATGTGGTGGTTCTGTATCGTTCTAAATTCAGGAGAAATGTGTAATTTTACCCAGAATAAACTCATCTCATAAATTGAAAAGTCAGGATAACAAGAAGCACTATTAGTAATTTCGATTTAGCTTTGTTATCTATAAGTCGCTCTGAAACTACTTTCAACTGATACACCAATTAATTAAGTGCAATTAAAAGTAAATTAAATAAAATATTGTGACATGACGCCTAAAAGCCGGAATAGCGGAGACAGACTAAACGTTTATTGCTAGATAATTACTCGGCAAACAAGTTCCTGTAGAAATGAACAGGCAACAATGGAAGAACTACTGTTTCTATGCAACGGTGAAGTAAACATACCTCTATAACAATAGAGGATTTGTTAGGAAACGCTCTTTTCTTTTGGGACGATCTATGATCCAATTTCCTTGTCATAAGATGTAGAACTATTGAAATTTGCGTCAGAATGAGATCTCAGTGTGGCTGCTGCTGTAGGTGTGGCCTGCAGGTTTGGTTCGCAGTGCATGAAGAAATTAGAGGAGGGCTGATTAGTGTTCTTAACATTGCTTATTCTGGGTGGCCATCGGCTGTAACGTGTTGAGATTATGGAGCAGATTAATGTGCATATCAGGGATAACCGGAGATGCAGGATTTATGAAAGTGCATGTATATTGAGCATCAATCGTAGAAAGAAGAAATGCAAGAGTAGCTCAAGGTCCACTTGAAAATATTTTAGACTGGTGGAACTAGGAAATTTGTGACCACTGAATTGAAAAAAGAAATGATATAGAAAAACATATACAGTTTGTGTGGGGGCACGCGGTAGGGTAGTTGGTTGAGGAGCTATGCTACAAGCCGGAAGATCGCGGGTTCAAGTCCCGATGAGGTCATGAGAATTTTTTTAAATTGACCTAATCCTTCCAGCCGCACTATGGCCCTGGGGTTCACTCAGCCTCTAACAGAAATGAGTACGAGGAACTAATTAAACAATTTTCCTGGGGAGTAAAGCGCGGCCGGTGCGTAAGGCTGACAACATAACCTCCATCTTTGAGCCGATTGTCTAGATAACATGGGAGCCTCGAGACGTCTCACAACCCTATGGGCCTTCACGGCTTGTTACAGGGATACCTTTACTTACTTTTTTATACAGTTTGTGTAACTACGGTGCGATGAATATCTAAAAAATTATAATAAATCTACCTTCAAATGTTACCTTCTTGCTTTGAAGGCAGTATGGGTCGATCTAGAAAGTTATACTCCGGAATTGTCCCTTACCCTGTGCTCCCTCTTAGTGACTATTTCTCTAAGCCTGCACTCCCAGAGGAACCCGCGAACCCTCGGCTTGATGCGACGTATAAGGGGTAGAAAAACGCCTCCGGTGCAGCTTCTTACCTCCCACTACCAAACCAGTACGTCACTTGGATCGTATTTCTTCTGGTAGAAGGCGTGAAAGTTCTATTGAACTAAAATTGGCGTCGGTTATATACAGTTTCATGTTCCAGGGAGAATTATATGTTCACATGCCACAGAAATTTTCTCCCCTCTGAGTTTGCCGTTCACATACTGCGCAACTGCGGAGTTCATTTCATATATCTCAATACAAGAAGTGTTTCTAATCTGTCGTTGATATCAGATAAATACAATTCCAAGGAATCTCAGTACGACTAAAAATGCGTTGTATCTGTGTACGTTAGGCCAATACATGCAGGACGTTAAAGCGTAGTAGGTGAAGTACTGGTTCTTATCCCTGATTTCTTCTTAAAATAAATATGTTTAAATAACAAGAAGTTTATTTATATACATTACTCTTATTTAATAAGCTCTTAAATAATACTCTAACTCTGTTGAGAGGGGAGACCCCTACTTTGGACCAGTGATTGAGGTTAGCTCTTTCTAAGGGACCAAACTGAGTAGGTGTCTTCTACCTCCCTCTCGCCCAGGATGGAAACAGATCCAGTTCCCGAAACGTTGCGTTTCTAGTTTCTAGAATACCGGACGACGGACAAAGTCCCAAAACCCAGTTATTCTGAGTGTTGTACACCATCGTCAGAACCCTTCTAGAATCTACATGCTTATGTTGCTGTGTGAAACAGCTTAGATATGATTATGGCAGCCGAGATGCCCAGATGTTCCGGTTCCTGTTCTGGTGACGTGGCGCCCTCAGGAATTATGGGTACGCAGATCTTTAAGTTATGTGCTGAAAAGTAAACGTCATAGAATATGGCAGTAACAAGGTTGTCCCTGTGCTTAACTAATTAAGCACTGTGCCATGAATACGTACTTGGAAGTGGATGTATAGATCCAAGTTTTCTTGACCTAGGCATTAGCTGGAGGTAAGTAGTCAGCCTTAAGCCCCGGCCGCTTTACCCCCGGCGGAAATAGCCACGGTACCCATTGGTTAGGAGGCTGGGTGGGCCCCAGAATGGGTCTGGATGCCTTCTTGATGGTATCCTTCAGAACCTGCCACAACAGTACGCTTGCCAGGCAACCCGGTTTTGTATCTTGTCCAGTCTCCCAGCTCGCTGATTAGGAATCGGAAAAATGCCCTGAATCTCGAACTTAAATCATGTTTGTACTCCTCTAACAAGAATCGATCTCCGAGAGATGTATCATCTTCTGAAATACTCTGTTACCGATGCGACGATCAATTGTATATTGTCGTCTTCAGGAAGAGGAGGCTTCGTTTCGAAACACGTACAAATCTTGGAAAGAACCAAAACTGTTATCCATGTGTAGGGTAGGCCGCGCCATAGCTCAAGCGGTTAGTCGCTGGCTTCCCACCGCGGCGGCCAGGGTTCGAACCCGGGTCTGGTCAAGTGGGATTTGTAGTGGACAAAGTGGCGCTGGGACAGGTTTTCTCCGAGTACTTCGGTTTCCCCTGCCAATCTTCATTCCACCAATTGCTCCACAATCACCCTCACCTATCATCTGGGGCTGGTACAATAGGCCAGAAGTGGGCGCAGTACAAGGGACTTAGTTCCGCCCTACTAGCAATAAAAATTATGTAGGGTTATACGCGCGATGAAAATGATAGCTCCTAGTTCCGATGATTGGATTTATTGGCACGTTGTTTACCACCTCTCTTAATCACATTTAAATACAGCGCTGTCGCTGATTTACAGACACTGGTCCTGGTACCACAAGTAAAACGCAGGAACTATAACCGTGTCACGGAATCACACACTCCAAGTATTACATATAAATGAAGCCTTCTAATCACACTTCAAGTCTTCACAGGTCGACGAACTTCCGGTGGCTGTCTCCTACCGAGAACTCAGAACAAAGAACTGAAGCGCAGTTTGTTTTTAAGATAACTCCTTTGCACGGACCCCACGGAAAACAGTGTCTGTTGTTTAAACATGTTTAACGAATCATTGCATAGCAATGGTCGCTGCTCGGATCCCATAGAAAATATTCTCTCTGTTGCTGAGATTTGTTTACCGAACCTTTGCTTAGCAACGCTCTGGTCATCCAAGTTACAATAGGATTAGGGGTCTTAACGGGATTCGAAACCAGTATTGACTGTACTGGCGAGAACCAGCAACAATTTATCCGACCTACTGACCAGACTGTCTTCTTCTGTTCCTAGGTTATAGGAGAGAAATCCAGACAATCTTCTTGTTTTTCTAGTGTAAGGATTGCAGATTACTATCTGGCGTTATTAGGATAAGGGCCGAAATCCAAAGTAACTCCTGTGGTTGATTGATTTGTTATAATTATTCTTTTCATTACGCTGTGCATTACACCCGAGCAAAGCCTGACAGATTTTCCACTGATTTATAACTCTCACAATTCATTATTTTAGTCGACAGCAGTTCGTCGCGGTGCCATTTCCCCACCTGGGTCACGGAACATCATGTGTGGCACACGTTGGACCATCAGCGCAGTTACCACTTCTCTAAACACAACGCAACTCTCAGGATAGCCAAAGAGGCAGCAGTCTCAACTCTGAGTGAAGCCACAGGGGGACATGCTTCTTCGGAACATAGCGTGAGCGGCAGAACTTCGTTGCGCTCTGGCTCTGTCGAGATGAGACTGGTGTGCCACTCAACAGAGGGCAGCACCGAAAAGCAGGAGATAGTTGTCGCGCATGTCACAACTGGATGGTAAGCTTCACTTTCATTTAGCTTTATTCTTGTGTATTTATATGTGATCTATTTTGCTACGTACAGAATTTCTTAAATTATTTCAAATTTGTATATTTCTTAAATCATTTCATTGGCATGGCAAAACCGAAAATTACGTGCGATTTTTTTATATATACGGTAGTTATTTTTCCTTTATTCAGAGTAGGATCTGTCGTGGGAGTTTATAGAAAAGTTATAGTTTGGAACTGATAGACGTAGCACACAAATTGTCTAATCAAAAAATATATCATTCTAAGAATCTCCCAGAAGTTGTTAACTCCTTAAAATTTGTCAGATAGACGTAATTTTCATAAATTCTGTAGGGCCTGAACTTGGAAATGTGGCAATATTTTATCATAACTTATAAGATTTAAGATAATCACGTAACAAAATATTATAAAGTAAATAACGTTAACTATTCGTGGTGCCGTATCTTAGTCTTAAAAATGTAGATATTGAAGGGAAAGCAACCAAATTTCAACTTGTGTTTAAAACAGTACTAAGGATCTCAAAATATAAAAACAAGCTCTTGGAAGAACTAGTCAAAGTCAACGTCACACTGCGACTGACGGTCAGTCAGTCAGTAAATCTTGGTGTCGAGCCCCATTTGGGGCTCATGACCAGATATTTATTACTGTTTGACAATTACGGTTTTGTTTCTGTGGGTCGTCCTCTCTGGCGAGAGGACGGGTCTGTCTTTTGTATATGCTGTTGGCCCTCACCAGCGCAGTCTCTCTCGAGTCCGAGTCCCTTGAGACTCGTCACCATATTTTACTGTCTCTCATTTGAGACTTACCTTTTCGTTGCCTCCTACGACTCGCAGGGTCACGGTGGAGGTAAAGTCAAAATCACATTGCGACTGACGGTCAGTCAGTCAGTAAACAGTCTTGGTGTCGAGCCCAATCTGGGGCTCTTGACAAGATATTTATTACTGTTTGACAGTTTATGTCTTGTTATCGTGGGGCACCCTCTCTGACGAGAAGACGGGTCTGTCTTTGAAGAACTACTCGCCTACTTTCCTTTTTATTCCACACGGACCGCACAGAAAACGTCTTGTCCAACAATTGTTATGTTCCGTTTGTATCCGTTGCAGCGATAACGTTTCTACCGAGCAGTTGCCTAGCAACTTTAAAGAAATACATATAGAGGCACACAGACCGATGGGAGGGATTTATGAAGTACGCCTCTGAGATGGGCTCAGGTGCCATGATGTACATAGCAAGTTTCATAAAGTTTGGTTCGGGCATTCAAAAGTTGATAGAGGAAGGAGGGTTTACACAGACACACCGACATGAAGGAGATCGCATAAGCCGACTTAAAAAAATTAAGCTGAAAATAAAAGAGATTCGGAAAATATTTTGTAAACCCATGGCTATTCTCGTGTTGTACGACACTGAAATAGGGTCAGTGGCTAAGAAACATAAATGTTAAGTAGAAACATGCGCAGTCAACTATCAGTAGCTGAATTATGCCAACGGGATCAGAATGGAAGTACTGACTAAAGGAAATTAAAATTTCCAACCTAAATTAAATATGAAATTATTACAACACACCAGCTTTCATGCTGGTTTCTTTCTTGGCTTATTCTTCCACCATAAAGATGGAGACGACATGTTCCTCTGAAACGTCGGTTTGGCTTTCGCCGGACTACACGGCGTTATATCCCACAAGACATAACTCTTACTGATATTTAGCACAAATTTTCAGGAGCTCCTTATTCACATACGCTTCGGAAACCCGGAACAAGCTTAAATAAATATTATAATTTCGAATCCTGTTTCCATGAAATGTCATCGTAGCCCTGATACAAAGCTCGGTCGGTAAAAGTGATAATCATTGTTCATTTTGAGAAACAAATGACATATATTGGCCGTTTACGGTAGCCGAGCGGTCTGAGGCATATACTGTCTTCGTTCGCTCGGAAGCCAGGATCGTGGGTTCGAATCCCACACAAGGCATGGATATGTATATGTTTCTTCTATATTTATGTTGTCCTGTGCTTAGAGAGAGACCTTGCGACGGGATGATCACTCGTTCAAGGAGTCCTACCGTCTGTAAAAATTATCATGAAACTGAAAGTCAGAAGCCAGGGCCCAGAAGGGTGGGGCTGTGGAGCCGGTGAAAAAAAAAGACACATATTGATCTACGCATATTTGGGAAGTGAGGAATGTTGAAGGGTGCTGCTCGTGTAGTAGGTACTGCGCTTTGGAGATTTATATGGTAAATAAAATAAACCTTCCACAAAAATCATTTCATTTTTTCGCCGTTATAAGTTACACAATTTATTCTTTAAATCTCTTAATAAGGTAAAAGGTAAAAAAAGGTAAAGGTATCCCTGTAACAGGCCGTGATGGCCCATGGGGCTGTGAGATGTTGAGGCTCCCACATTTTCTAGACAGTCGGCTCATAAATGGCGGTGAGTTTGTCAGCCTTACGCGCCGGCCGCATCTCTTAATACAGCATACACTAAATAGTTTATGAGACTGCCGGCCTGCCTCTATGACTGACAATCGCCATATTCCTCTCGTAGAAAATGAATTACAAATTAACACTCTGAACCTCGATTCACTGGTCTGCCTTGCAATGGCAAGCGGACTAAAGACAAGGCTTTGCAAAATCCTCTGAAGTCTTCTCGGGTGGATACAGGAAAATCTGCGACGTTTCGGAGATTTAGGCCACGTACACACACACACACATCGGTCGTACGGAAAATGTCGTACGATTTTTTTGCCGTACGACCTCATTGTCACACTAGAGCGACTTTCGCAATTTCGTAACAACACTACGATAAGAACTAATGTAATAACTCGAAACAGACGACCCAGGCTTCGTCCGGATCAAGTCGCGTAATGTGAATCACAGAACTGGATTGCATCACTCACTGAGCCTGCGACAGTCGGACGGCTGTCGTAGTCTGTGTGGTTTGGTCCTACTACTCTCCAACTGTCGTACGGTAGATGTCGCATGTCGTCAGGTATGAAAGCTAAGACTACACTTTATATTCTACTACTTGATGCGACATGAACCGTACGGACTTCGTACGACCGATGTCGCTGTGTGTAGTATGAGTGTCTCTTTTCATGGATGAGTGTCGCGTCAGTGGGTTGAATCTCGCAGGAATAAATTCCATGAAGCAGCAAAATTTTGAATTTCAGAATTCTACAATCTATAAGAGTATGTAATTTTGGCCCTAACGGCATCTTAGGAAAATATTTTGAAGGGTACAAAATCGTGTTCCCACTAGCTTACTTAAAGAAATGGCTAATGTTTCACACTTCTGGAAAATGTTACCTGTGACAGTCTTTTGAGATGCTTCAAGGTCGCCTGTAACAACAGTGAGAAACAGAGACTTCAGATTCTCACAGCGACGATTATGAAATCTTCTCCTCTGGCATATAACGCCCTGTGAAAATTGTCCTGCTTGCTGCCTGCTTCATATTGGTTTCTTTGCTTGACTTGCTCTCAGACCCTGTAGAAAGAAACGACATGTTGGTCCGGAATATTGGTTGAATTTCGCCGCACTACACATTATAATCCAAGAGGCAGAACTCTTCGCAGAGAGATGTACAAGTAAGTCTGTGTGAGTCCGGGCTTTCATCAGCAGCCGTAGCAACACCAAGGTCTGGACTTTCGATCTGTTAAGTTTGACTGCTGGATAGGTTGCTCCTTCCAACATTCACTTCGGACGCCTAGTGTATGCTTGTTCCAACGTGTGCAGTCCACTCGTATCGGAATGCGTTCTGCTTCCATTCTTGTGGAGTTTGGCTCTTTTAATTTCTCGACCCGTATTCTCACACTTAAGACATGGATGTCTGGGTTTATTACGTATTTCTGTTTCTCTGTACGTAGGTAGCGGCCTTGGGATTGGCTGATCCCCCGTCCAAGGAATCCTGCCGGCTGTCTAAGATTAAGAAACTGAAGCGAGGCAAACGTTTCACGTACGCCCAATGCTCCAACTGGGAACAACAGGGATAGATAGATGGGTGGATGGGTGGGTGGGTGGATGTGTAGAATGGTTTCCACAAAAATTGGTTGGATCCTGACAACAGAAGTCAGAAAGGCAAATAAATAATATTTACTGAATCCTCGTCGGTTATTATTAGAAAATATTTTCAATTGATTCCGGATGGTTCAGTCGATATGGCGATGGACTACAGCCTCAAGTACTGGGATTCGATTCCCAGCAGGGGAAAGCTATCTTTCTGTTTCCCGCAACGTCTAGACTGACTCTCGTGTTCGCACAGCATCATAGTCAGTGGGAACTGCGGGCACTTTGGCCGGTTGTGGCTGGCCCTTGAAGGTGACCACTCACCTCCGCCTTGTGCCGAGGTCAAGAATGGGGGAGCTATACCTCCACACGTCTTCATGGCGTGGCGCTTAATTATTTAAGCACAGGTATAACTGTTAGTTACTCAATCCGTTCATCTGATACCTTAGGGTGTCGAGGTTCTTTTTTTAATTTTGATCATTTTACATACGGTAGGACTCCTTGGACGAGTTGATCAGCTCGTCGCAAGGTCTCTACCTAAACACAGAAACACAACACAGAATAAACACATGCACATACCAAACATCCATGCCTTATGTGGGATTCGAATTCACGATCCCGGCTTCCGAGCGAGCGAAGACAGTACATGCCTTAGACCGCTCGGCTACAAAATATATCCATTAATGGGAGAAATGAGAAAAGCGCACAAAGTTTAGATCGGAAACCCTGAAGTAAAGAGACCACTTTGCAGACCTAGAAATAGGTGTTCACATGATATTTAATTATGTCACATAAATGAGGTGTGAGGACGAGGGCTGGAATCATATCCGGTTCTCGCAATCACAGTAATATAACTTCTTGTTTCATATAAGTCCTTTGCCTGACCAAATGAGCGACTGTCCGCTTCTTAAGAAGGACACTGTTCCATGTGGTCAGTCCGTTTGTTGGAGTTGGGCAACACTGCACGTGCCACACTGTGCAGATGCAGTAG